AGTTCCTCATGTACCCATGGCAACAAATTAAGGATACTGTGCCTTCTGAGTGGACTTCAGCTTTCCTCAGCAGATCTTCTCTCACTAGGGTTTCTTCACAACCTGAGTCCATTGGGGCTTATAACTCTAGCTTGTCAACATTCATTATGGTTGTCAATTTCAAACCGCCTAGCATTTGGTTGAGGCTGGGTAAAGAGAAGCCTGCCTCATAACTAGACTCTATGGTTGGGCAATCTTTCTTGATATGAACTTGTTCACACTGGAAACAGATCATCCTCACTAGTGAATCCTGTAATGGTGGGTGTGACATTCCTCTCTGGTGTTATCTGGACTGGTGATCTGCTAGGTCACTCCAAACCTTGACTTTGGGAGCCAGCCTTACCCTGCTCTGCTGTGAGAACACCCACTCCTGGGCTGTTCTCGTACAGCCTCTGGCATGTAAGCCACTGCTTGGATTGTGCAACTGAATGACACTAGTCAATATCTCCGGTCCCAGATACAACCCTAGGAACCTCCATTTTGCAGTATCCAGTTATGCCCTCTGGACACTGCAAGCTTATAGGAGTTCATCAGTTTAACAAAGAAATTGATATGCACCAGGCTTGTTATCCCAAGGGGAGTCTCTGACACGCTTCAAACCAAACGCACTGCTTCAGGTAGAATAAACAGATTTATTAACTATAAAGATAGATTTAAAGTGATTATATGTCAAAACATAAGTCAGATGTGGTCAAATGAAATAAAAGCAAAACGCATTCTAAACTGATCTTAACACTTTCAATGCCCTTACAAACTTAGATGCTTCTCACCACAGGCTGGCTGGTTGCTCTCCAGCCAGGCTCTCCCCTTTGATCAGCACTTCAGTCGCTTGGTGTGGTGTCTGTAGGTATAGGTAGAAGAGAGAGGAAGAGCATGGCAAACATCTCCCCCTTTTATCATGTCCTTTCTTCCCTCTTGGCTTCGCTCATTTCAGAGTCAGGTGAGCACTACCTCATCGCAGTCCCAAACTGACCAAAAGAAGGTGGGTGACTCACTCGAGAGTCCAACAGATCCGTTTGTTGCTGCGCAGGCCAGTGTCCTTTGTTCCTGTGAGGCTGGGCTGGGTTTGTCCCATACATGCCCTGATGAGGTGTGAACTGCTGCTCCACTCTTGGAGAGTTTTTGCCTGGGCTTGCTTTAAGCCATGAGGATACATTTTCAGCCTCATAACTATATACATGAAATTATAACCTATAACTTTACTATAACATCACTGTAACGACAATGCTCAGTGCATCATGAGCCTTCCGAAGACATCCAACATGACAAACTTTGCATTGGATACCACACAATCATATTATAAGGATGAACATGGGGGTGTAGGATGTTCCCACAAAGTACAGAATGTCACAGTAGGATAGTCGGGGTCTTGGTCTGGTGCGATCTTCAGAGTCCGCACTGTCAAGGGTGAGTCCAGCCCTGGTCTCAGAACAGCCATCCCCCCACCTCCTTAAGGGCATCCCTAGTCCAACAGGAGGAGGCAGGCTCTGGCCTGCTGGGTCAGGTTTGTGGGGTATTACCCTCCAAATAGTTCCCTGCTAGCCTCACCACTTCTTCCAGAGTCTCTGGTTAGTACCTCTGCACACACCCTTGCACAGCTGTGGAGAAGACCCAGAGAAACTGTTTGAGGATGACCAGTTCACCTATCTGCTTGCTCATTCTAGCCCAGGGGTCGGCAACCTTTCAGAAGTGGTGTGCCGAGTCTTCATTTATTCACTCTAATTTAAGGTTTTGCGTGCCGGTAATACATTTTAATGTTTTTAGAAGGTCTCTTTCTATAAGTCTATATTATATAACTAAACTATTGTATGTAAAGTAAACAAGGTTTTCAAAATGTTTAAGAAGCATCATTTAAAATTAAATTAAAATGCTGATCTTACGCCACCAGCCTGCTCAGCTCGCTGCCAGCCTGGGGTTCTGTTCACCTAGGCCAGCAATGGGCTGATCAGGGCCTGCGGCCAGGACCCCAGACCTGGGGGGTGGGTGGGGGTGTTTCATGGGTCAGGGCAGAGGGCTGGGGGAGGGGTTCAGGGCAGAAGGCTGGGATGTGTGTGGAGGGGAGTTCAGAGATCAGGGCAGAGGGCAGGGTGGGATGCAGGGCAGAAGGCTGGGTGTGTGGGGGGTTCAAGGGTCAGGCCAGAGAGCTGGGGGTTGTGGGGGGCACAGGGCAGAAGGCTAGGGGTGTGTTGGGGTGTGGGGGGTTCAGGGCAGAGGGATGGGGGTGTGTTGGGGTGGGGGGGTTCAGGGCAGAGGGTGGG